TTTTTTACTATTTTTAAATATACAAAAAGTAGCAGCATTTTTTTGACTATTTTCACAATACAATTTTTAACACACTTTTAAAATAATTTTAATTTAGTATATTTTCTAAAAAAATATATTTTACAAAAATATAATTGAAGTGAAATTCTGTTTATTTTTTTATAAATATATTTATTTGCACTTTTCTTAAATGTATTTATTCATGCTAAATATATTTATGCATATTTTTTAACTATTTGGTGAAAATGATAATTGTAACAATGCATTGAAAGTATATTTTCAAAGTACATTATTAAAATAAACTGAAGTTGTTGTATACTTTGTTAAATTATGGAATTTTAAAAGTGTATTACTTCATGCTTGCAATTCACTTAATTGCTATACTCTTAGAAAGTAATAAAATATATGATAAATGCATTGAAAGCTTTTGGGGAAGAAAGTATACTCAAAAAATATTTCAGTGGCTTAGTAAATATCACAGTAATAATTAACTTTAACTTAATAAAATCTCAAAATCTGAGTTGAACATACAAAAATAAGAGTTAATGTAATAACAGTTAATTTTGTCTAACATTTACAGTTATATTTAAGTTTTACATCTGTTGCATTACTGTTTGACGAATAAATAAATACATGGACATGAAAAAGGATTGTTTATTTTGTGAGAAGAAAGAGAATCTGTTAAATGTATGCACTACCCGATCTGATAATGTACAAAGCAGAGTGTAAATTAATGTGAAATTAAAGTCAATTATACCTCACTTCTCCCTGGACATCATTCAAATATATCTGACCGCTGAATGCTGCAGCTGACCATTCAGAATATGTGTATGTGTGAGTTTTGAGTCACAGTGTGTAGCTTGAACACACACACACACACGGCCTTCAGTTCCCCGTGTCTTTCATACAGTAGTTTAGTCCGACGATGCTGTTCAGACGGCCTTGATTCGCTCCTGCCTCGCCTCTCTCTCTGAACACAACACACAGAACAGCATTGTGCTGCGAGAGACGGTAACACAAGCCTGTTATCTGCTGGAGATGAAAGAGTGTGTGTGTTTCTCATGGGGCAGTGTTAGCTAAAAAGGTAACACAAATGAATAGAGACTTCAGCCTAGCTTTCTTTCCCCCCCGTTTCTCATGTTTTCTCTTTATTCAGGTAAGCTGAAATGTCACTTCGCCCTGAAGCTTTCTGAAGGCCGCCGAGAACCTGTCAGGGACTGTGTTTAACGTGTCGCACCGTGATACACACACCGCCCCGTGCGTGTGTGTGTTCATATGTGCCCTGAGTCTTTTGCTGCTGAATAAAAGAGTGAAATCATGGGAATCAAGTTTTCATTTCTTTCTCAGATCTTCTCTTTCATTTCTGTTCTCCAGTTAAACATTCATGCATTATGAGTCTGGCTTATCACATATCATGTTTGAGCAATGGTGTTTTGTATTTGACGGTTATTATTATTATCAATGTTGAAAACAGCTGCACTGCAACATGTTTGTCAGGAAAATATCTATATTTTTAAATGCTACTGATTTGACATATTCTGTCAGGGCTTCATAAACAGTGTATGTTTGTGTGAATATTAATTAGGATCTAATCCAAGATGGCTGCCTGATAATGTGTTTGTGTTGTCGATCTTCGTTTTTTTTGTTTTGTTTTCAACTATAAAGGATCAGTCATCAAAGTCTGTTTTAAGACTGTTCTTAAGTTTTAAGTATTGCTTTTTAAATCTATCCCTAATCCATTGCCAAAATGAGGGTATTTCATTTATTCACCTGCTTGATACTGTGGATACCTATCATGCTTAATGCTAATGAGGAGAGAGATGCATCTGTGTTGCTTCAATGGATTATTCCGAGTGCTGCGACTTTCTTGAAGCCGGCTGAGATCCTATCATGACTTAATGACTTAGATTTTGGTAGTTTAAAGTAACATAATATAGAAGACAATGTGGAAAATGTTTCATGTTGTTCCAACACAGTCTCATGAAGATGCGTATTTATACCACGAGTGTCATTTCTCGTGGCATTTATACGCCAAAAGTGTTTTTTTCGTGTATATGGTACGCAGTAAAAAACCCTGGGTTAGGTTTAGGGGGAGGGGGGTGGGGAGTTCGTGCGTATTATACACAAAAAAGTGCGTATCATATGTACGTGAAAATCGCGCGCCATATACACGCAAAAACTGTTTTTGGTGTATAAATGCCACGAGAAATGGCATTCGTGCCATAGCTACGAACTTTCATGAGATCGGGCTGGTTGTTCTCAGCGTCTAAATTCTACTCCTATTTTAGCTACACAAGTTCACAAAGCCTTATCAAATTTGGATTGTAAAAAATCACCAGGGTCTGATAAAATAGAGCCTTACTTTTTAAAAATTGCTGCAGATCTTATAACAGAGCCCATTACTTCCCTTTTAAATTTAAGTTTAAATTCAAATGTTATTCCCCGTGCATGGGAATCGGCTATGATCCTACCCTTGTGAAAAGGTGGCGATCCATCTGAGATGAATAATTATCGACCAATTTCAAGATTGTCGGTGATGGCGGTGAAGTATTTGAATCTTTTGTAAATGATCAAGTAAAACAGTTTTTAACTGAAAATAATATTTTAAATGAATTTCAGTCAGGATTTAGAGCAGGTCACAGTACTATAACAGCAGCCATGCTGGTCACGAATGATATTATTGAATGTTTGGATAGTAAACAGCATTGTGCAGCCTTGTTTGTAGATCTCTCCAATGCATTTGATTCCATAAACTTTTGTTGCAGAGACTTAGATGTGTGGGTTTTAGTGAAACAGCTCTCAACTGGTTTAATAATTACTTATCGGAAAGAACTGTAGATCAAAATGCAGCTTTATTAAGAATAGTTGTACAGGCAGGGTCGAGAATCAACAGACAGGCCAATGGAGAACACACAGTGGGAATCCCCAAAACAGGCAGAGGTCAGGGCAGGCAGCAATAATCAAAATCCAAGAACAATCCAAAGTCAAAAACAGAAGACAAACACTAGAAACCGCTCGGAAATACAGACACACAGTACAACAAGACTTTGCGGTGAGTAAATGAGAACAACAGGTATTTATAGTGTGAAGTGAATAAGACAATAAGAACCAGGTGAATGAGATGAGTGCTGATGAGTCTGGGCAGTGAGTTATGGGAAATGTAGTTGTGAGTGAAACATAAACATCTGGTGTGGAGCGCCCTCTGGTGTCTCAGTTGAAAATTTTACTTCAGCAGAACAAATAATTAAAAAAGGTGTCCCACAGGGCTCTGTTTTAGCACCAATTTTATGTTCTATTTATATCAATGATGGATTAACACCAGCTAGAATTCATCTATGCTGATGATACAATTATTTATACAGTGGCAAACTCTATTAATCAAGCCATAGAGCTTTAGCAAGTTTCTTTTCGGTCTTTGCAATTGTCATTGTCTTAGTTTGAAATTGGATTTAAAAAAAAAAACAAAAAACAAAAACAAAAACGAACTACACCCAGATAGGAAACTGACATTGAATCAACATGGAAACGACGTCTCTCATGACATTGAAACAACGTTGATTTTGCTCATCGAATTAACGTTGAACCAACGGCATTCTTCAAAGCTAAATGAAAATCGAAAATTGGTTTGCTTTCATAACGTTGAAACAACGCGTTGATTTCAAGTTGATTTTCCGTTAGTTTTGAAAGAATGACGCGTCTGACGTTGGTTCAACGTTAATTCGATGAGCAAAACAATGTCAGATCAACGTTGTTTCGATGTCATATTTCCACGTTGATTCAATGTCAGTTTGCTATCTGGGCATGCTTTTCATTCGTGGTCCCATCAACACAGATCATCCGATCTTAAGTTTGGAGGGGGACTGCATAGAAAGAGTAAAATGTTACAAATACTCAGGCATATGGTTAGGTGAAAAACTAGGTTTCAATGCACATATTGACAATCTCTTGAAAAAGCTCAGACCAAAACTGGGTTTCCTCTTTCGTTTAAAGAAATGTTTTCCTTTTGACGCAAGACAGAGAATTACTCAAAGCTGTTTCCTCTCAGTATTGGATTACGGTGATGTGATTTATATACATGCAGGTTCATCATCGTTAAAAAAAACTAGACCATGCTGCCTTACGCTTTGTGATCAATGCCTCTTCACGCACTCATCATTGTACCTTGTATGAATTGGTGGTTTCAGAGGAGAAAAATACACATGTTGATGTTTATTGCTAAGGCATTGCTAGGCAGGTTACCAATTTATATATGTGGTTTATTATCTTACTGCATTTATAATTATAGATCTAGTGAAAACTGCTTTTAAAGGTTCCTAGAGTGCGTTCAGAGCTTGGTAAAACTGCTTTTTCTTTCTATGCCCCTTGGTTATGGAATGAGCTGCAGACCCAGACAGCAAACTGACATTGAATCGACGTGGAAACGACGTCTCTCATGACATTGAAACAACGTTGATTTTGCTCATCGAATTAACGTTGAGCCAACGTCAGACGCGGCATTCTTCAAAGCTAAATGAAAATCGAAAATTGGTTTGCTTTCATAACGTTAAAACAACGCGTTGATTTCAAGTTGATTTTCCGTTAGTTTTGAAAGAATGACGCGTCTGACGTTGGTTCAACGTTAATTCGATGAGGAAAACAATGTCAGATCAACGTTGTTTCGATGTCATGTTCCCACGTTGATTCAATGTCAGTTTGCTATCTGGGGAGTATAATAATGATAAAAACTCTTCCCCCTTTAAACGTTTTAAAAAATCTTTTATTGACCAATTTAAAGGAAACGTGTGCATGTTTTGTAACGTAACTTTTGTTTATTTTATGAGCGCTGGGTAAAATTGTATTTAAGATTGAGTTTTATGTCTGTATTGTGTTTTTGTGCTGCCATTTTGGCCAGGACTCCCTGGAAGAAGAGTTTTTTTTATCTCAATGGGACTATCCTGGTAAAATAAAATATAAATAAATAAATTAATGAATGTGCTGTTCTGCTTTCTCCTCTCACACAGGTTTTCCAGATCGCGTATGTGATTCTGAAGGCTGCAAACTCGCCTCGGCCTGGGAACTGGATTCTGGAACGTTCTCTGGACGGCGAAACATTCATGCCGTGGCAGTATTACGCTATAACAGACACCGAGTGCCTCACACGCTTCAACATCAACCCCAAAACAGGCCCGCCGTCCTACACGCATGATGAGGAGGTCATCTGTACCTCCTTCTACTCGAAAATACATCCTCTGGAGAACGGCGAGGTGAGAAGTAGCGTCATGAGAAGGTTTGAATGCTATGAGTGACTTCTGGAGGGCTCATATATACTGTACTGTTTTATCATTTGACTTTTTTTTTAAATTCATTATTATGTTAATCAAGGTTTCATTCTTAAGATTTCCATTCCTATTTTACTATGAATTAAACCAAAAGTGCACACATCCAGCAGGCAGAACCCAGATAGCAAACTGACATTGAATCAACGTGGAAATATGACATCGAAACAACGTTGATCTGACATTGTTTTGCTCATCGAATTAACGTTGAACCAACGTCAGACGCGTCATTCTTTCAAAACTAACGGAAAATCAACTTGAAATCAACGCGTTGTTTCAACGTTATGAAAGCAAACCAATTTTCGATTTTCATTTAGCTTTGAAGAATGCCGCGTCTGACGTTGGTTCAACGTTAATTCGATGAGCAAAATCAACGTTGTTTCAATGTCATGAGAGACGTCGTTTCCACGTTGATTCAATGTCAGTTTGCTGTCTGGGAAAGTATGAAGCTTTTAGTATGAATATGTTAGCATTAACCCTTTAAAACCGGCGGTGTCGCAAGCTGTATTCGTTTTACTGTAACTCTTCAACCATTTGCACTATCGAAACCACTCAATTGCCCCTGACAGTAGACAAAATGCGCTTTTTGGTTAAGAATAAATTGTTTTGTTCCAAAACAATGACAAAATTCACATTTAGGAGATAAAAGCGTATCAAACTTATAGTCTCTCGCTTCCACTAAAATGGATTTTAATGACTTCACTGCAGACTTCAGCTTCTCATCACATCTTCTGTCCAATCAAATGCTCTCAAGAATCTCAAGCTCCGCCCCCTCTTCTATAAACACCACCTGGCTGAAGAGACCATTGACACGTCACAGGGCAATATGGGTTGCTCAAACGCTCAAGTTTTATTCAACTGTACGTTGGTTAAAGGGTTAGTTCACCCAAAAATGAAAATTCTGTCAGTATTTTCTCACCCTCATGTTGTTCCAACCCCGTAAGACCTTCGTTCATCTTCGCAACACAAATTAATATATTTAAGATATTAAGATCACTCCTGTATACAGTCCATAGGCTTCTTGAGGGAATGACTCTTGCTGGCATCAAAAAGTCATTAAAGACATCGTTAAAATAGTCCAAGTGACTACAGGGGCTCAATCTTAAGTTTATCAAACGACGAGAACACTTTTGTGCGCAAAAAAACAACAAAAATAACGACTTTATTTCAACTATTCACTTCCTTCTCCATGAGCCTGTAGTCAGTTAACGTAGTGTGATTGCGTAGAGCTACGTCACACGTAGGCTCACTATTGGCCGACGCTGGTCACGTGTGTGATGTGTGTGACGTACAATAACAGAAGCTTACGCTATTAAACTAGTAACCTGACTCGCGCAGAGGGAGAAATAAACGAATAGTTGAAATAAAGTTGTTATTTTGGTTGTTTTTTGCGCACAAAAGTGTTCTCGTCGTTTGATAAACTTAAGATTGAGCCCCTGTAGTCACTTGGACTATTTTAACGATGTCTTTAATGACTTTTCGAGGCCATCAATTGTCATTCCCTCAAGAAGCCTATGGACTAGTATGCAGGAGCGATCTTAATATCTTAAATATATTAATTTGTGTTCTGAAGATAAATGAAGGTCTTACAGGGTTGGAACAACATGAGGGTGAGTAAATACTGAATTTTCATTTTTGGGTGAACTAACCCTTTAAGAATGAAATGACTAGAATTTATTCACACCTCTACTATTGAATCCAGCGTATCATCAGCGCTCGGATTCGCTTCCATAGTGCTGTCAAGTACGACTTGCAGCCTGTGAGGGAAACTGAATGCTATTGGCTGTTTGAAACGGGGGAGGAGCCATTTCATATCTCCCTTCTTTGCTTCCTGTTTCAGTGGAAATTACGTCAGCGCATCAAACAAAGCTGCGCAATCCAAAGCACTTCAGTGGGACTTTAATACTGTTCTTTACACACAAGTTAACCGAAGTTGACATACAACGAGATCAGTAGTCAGGTCACCTTTATTTATATAGCACTTTATACAATACACATAGTTTCAAAGGAGGTAACAGGAGAATGATTCAATGGTGCAAACAGTTCATTTCAGCTGTACAGCAGCTCTAAAGAGACAAAAGTGTCACTGTTCACCTGAAGTCAATTCAGTGTTAATTCATTTCCATTATAAAGATCATTAGTTATTAAATGAGTTCATTTCATCTACAAAGCAGTTCTGCTGAAAACAGTGATGTCACCATCTTCAGCTCTCATCTAATAGTGCGGTCAAATCAATAATATTCAAACACTCACCAAAGTGTTTTATCGCTGAAATATTACTTTGGTCAGACTAAACACATGGGAGAATGTTGCTATGGTTACCGTGCTGTCAATCACGTGATTGGTGGAATGATAATGCAATGACGTATTTAAATGCGGCAGTCATAAAACATCAAAGTAACCACTAAAATACTCAGTTCAAATAACAAACACCTTAAAGGGTTAGTTCACCCAAAAATGAAAATTAAGTCATTAATTACTCACCCCCATGCTGTACCAACCCCGTAAGACCTTCGTTCGTCTTCGGAACACAAATGAAGATATTTTTGATTAAATTTGAGACCTGTATAACTACCACATTGGCTCCTAAGGGACTGCCTCTTGACGGCCCAAAAAGTCAATGAAGAAAATGTTTAAATATCCCAAGTGACTACCGTGGCTCAACTATATGTTTATCAAGCGACGCGAATACTTTTTGTGCGAAAAAACAAACAAAAATAACGAGTTTATTCGACTATTTCTTTTCTTCCTTGTAGGCCAGAAACGAGACTTCCTTAGATTTCCACGACGCATGCGCGAGATTTGCGATCTGAAGTAGTGTAAGCTGGTGTGAGCAGATCGCAAATCTCGCGCATGCGTCGTGGAAATCTAAGGAAGTCTCGTTCTGGTATTCGCGTCGCTTGAGAAACATATAGTTGAGCCACGGTAGTCACTTGGGATATTTAAACATTTTCTTCATTGACTTTCTGGGCCGTCAAGAGGCAGTCCCTTAGGAGCCAATGTGGTAGTTATACAGCTCTCAAATTTAATCAAAAATATCTTCATTTGTGTTCCGAAGACGAACGAAGGTCTTACGGGGTTGGTACAGCATGGGGGTGAGTAATTAATGACTTCATTTTCATTTTTGGGTGAACTAACCCTTTAATGCAACTAATTTGTTACCTTGTTAGCTGTAATTCCTAATTAGAGAAAACAGACAAGAGAAAAATATATTCACACACAGACGGACTCAAGTGTCCCTCTCATTCAGAGCTCACTCAAACGCAAACATATAATTCGTCATGTTTTCGGTTTGCATGAAAACGGGCTCTGATATCTGTGTAACACAATAATGATACATACACTCATTTAAACAGATATCAGAGCAAATTTTCATACAAACCGAAAACATGTAGAATTATGCATGTCTGTGTTAAAACAGCGGCTAACTTCCCCACACAGCTAATCGCAGGCTGACATGAACGCCCACACAGGCATGATAGATGAGATGGAAGTTCTCCTACAGCAGCAGTTTTAATGTGTGTGTGTGTGTGTGTTTTCTGAAAAAGTCAGATTTACAGCTGTCAGATCATAGGACTATATTGAACTGTATTGCGTGTGTGTGTGTGTGTGTTTACCATACTAATGAGGGAGGCGGGTGGGGAGATCAAGCCTGGACTTAAATGTCGCTCCATCTTCTTTAAAAACAGACATCATAAACTCACACAGCACTAATTAGCACACATCATTAACCCAAGAAAAACAGCCCAGTTCTACACGCACACACATAGACACACCACATCATTGAGCAGCATTTGCAACAACAGTTTGGTTGTCAATAGACTGCATTAATATTTGTATGGTAACACTTTACTTGAAGGGGTGTGATGACATGACATATGTTATGAATATGAAGGAAGTAATATGCATGTTTATGACAACTGTCATTAAGTGTCATTCACTCAGTTATGACATTTTTGATGCAAATACGACATTGTTTGAGATGTCTTTGTTATGACACCTTGACATAAACCAATACATCATAACCTGTCAGTGTCGTTGTCATGACAACATTACTAAGACAACACAACCTGTCATAGACATGACATAGCAGATTAATGATCAAACTCAAGAAAATACTTAGCTTTATGGGTTAACATTACATTAAACTGTCATGTGGTTGGTTTTGACATTGGCTGCCATGAAGCCGTTATAACTTTTTAATGACAAATTCAATTAGTACCATAGTTGAGGTCACGAAAAATATTCATAATGCTTCATGACAGCCAATGTCAAAGCCAACCACATGACAGTTTAATGTAATGTATGTCAACCTATGTCAAGTTGTCATGACAAAGACACTGACAGGTTATGATGTATTGGTTTATGTCAAGGTGTCATAACAAAGACATCTCAAACAATGTCATATTTGCATTACAAATGTCATAATTGAGCGAAAGACACTTCATGACAGTTGTCATAAACATGCATAAACCTTAATTCATATGTCATGTCATGATTATGAAGGTGTCATGTCAGTCTTATGCAGTAAAGTGTCATCATTGTATTTACTGGTTTATATTCTGTGAACCCTATGATGGTCTTTTGTCATTCTACATTTAGAATTTGTAAATAAAAATTGAAAAGCTGCAAAACTTTGATTAGAAAAGGCTAAATGATCTTAAAATAGTCTCATATATTCTCCCATCACATATACTGTATATGTACCTAGATATGTACCTGTACTTAGTGTTGTTGTCTATTTTAATCCCCACCAACAAACAGTATCATCTGTTGCGCTACCACAGTTGAGAAAATTATCCAAGGACTCAGTCATTAATTCTTGTTTTCTTTCAGATTCACACCTCACTAATAAACGGCCGTCCCAGTGCGGACGATCCATCGCCCATGTTGCTCAACTTCACCTCGGCCCGCTATATCCGCCTGCAGTTCCAGAGGATTCGCACCCTAAATGCTGACCTCATGACCCTCGATGTCAATGACCCCGGAGACATCGACCGCATCGTCAGCAGACGGGTGTGTGTGTGTGTGTGTGTTTCTCCGCTGGAGCTATAGAGACTAGTGCAATGCTTTGACACCAGAGAGAATGTGCCACACGTGTGTTTGTCGTCACATACGCCATCTGTGTGTGTGGATGGTTGAAGCTAATGCTGCCCGGGCCGCCTCATCCATTACGAGCCTCTCCCCCTCAGACAGATGGGTTTTAATTAACATCACACAGTAATTAACAAATCGGCCCGCTCTTTTCCTCAAAGACGCCATATCACACGCCTCCACCCGCCCACTTCCTCCTACAAACTCATTAACTCGCTGATTGACCTGTTTCCATCAAAGAAGAGTCGCGTTATGAAATGCAGGATTATGTTTCTCACGTGCATTGAGCAATTGGGATAAATGTATTTCATCCAAATTATTTCATTCAAAGGGTCTTTTTGTAGTCTGGGAGGCATAAGCTGGCTAATTTAAAGGATAATTTGAAGGTTATGCGTGTCATTCCTGTATGTGTGAAGTGTAGTGCGAGGTTAGTTCACCCAAAATGAAACAATTATCGTTCCAAACCAGTAAGAAGTTTGTTCATCTTCGAAGATATTTTTGATCAAATCTGAGAGATTTCTGTCCCTCCCTTGACGGTCCACACAACTACCACTTTGACGCTTCGTACAGAACTAATACGTATGAATTGTTTAGTCTATGTTTTCTGAAGTGACTTGATCGCTTCATATAATGAAGAGATTGACTTTAGGGTCAGATTTACTAACAGCTTGCATTAGCGCAAACCCTAACTTAAAAATGGTACTGTAAAAAACGATTAGTTGACTCAACTTAACTAAGTCAAGTAATCCCGTTGCTTTGACTGAGTTAAGTTGAGTCAACTAATCTCTTTTTACAGTGTACTTAATGCTGCATCGAGAGGTAACTTCGCGTCTGCTGCCATGTTTGATCCAAATTGTGCTGCGCAAAGGCAGTATGGGAAAACCCAGGCTACTTTCAGACGCAACATTTATGGGAGGAGAGTATTTAAATGAATCATGCTAGGCGATTTACTATGGTTTATGCTTGTCAATTTACTGGTGTTTCTGCCATTATTTATCGTCCCCCAAAAAAGCACCTCTTAAACCAGAAGCTAACTGGCAGATTGTGTTGGTCCGGCTGCGTCTGTGTTCTTAAAATTCATGAACAGAACTTTCCACTCACATCTGTGTTTTTATGGGATTGTGCTTTCACACAAATTTGCCCTGTTTGGTAAATCTGGCCCTTAAACATTGATTAGCAAACATAATCAAAAACTATCCCGTACTTGCTTGACGAGTGAGAGCAAACCTCATTGGTTCTTGCTGAAGCTCATCGTGATGCGTAACAAGAGAACGAACCTCAATGGTTCTTGCTGAAGCTCATCGTGATGCGTAACATGAGAACGAACCTCATTGGTTCTCGCTTAAGCTCAAACGTGATGCGTAACATGAGAATGAACCTCATTGGTTCTTGCTGAAGCTCATCATGATGCGTAACATGAGAATGAACCTCATTGGTTCTTGAGGAAGCTAAAACGTGATGCGTAACACGAAAACGAACCATATTGGTTCTTGTTTAATCTCAAACGTGATGCGTAACTCAAACGTGATGCGTAACATGAGAACGAACCTCATTGGTTCTCGCTGAAGCTCAAACGTGATGCGTAACACGAGAACGAACCTCAATGATTCTTGCTGAAGCTCATCGTGATGCGTTACATGAGAACGAACCTCATTGGTTCTCGCTTAAGCTCAAACGTGATGCGTTACATGAGAACGAACCTCATTGGTTCTTGAGGAAGCTCAAACGTGATGCATAACACGAAAACGAACCTCATGGTTCTTGAGAAAGCTCAAACGTGATGCGTAACACGAGAACGAACCTCATTGGTTCTTGAGAAAGCTCAAACGTGATGCGCAACACGAGAATGAACCTCATTGGTTCTTGAGGAAGTTCAAACGTGATGCATAACACGAAAACGAACCTCATGGTTCTTGAGAAAGCTCAAACGTGATGCGTAACACGAAAACGAACCTCATTGGTTCTTGAGGAAGCTCAAACGTGATGCGTAACACGAAAACGAACCTCATTGGTTCTTGAGGAAGCTCAAACGTGATGCGTAACACGAAAACGAACCTCATTGGTTCTTGAGGAAGCTCAAGCCTAAGCCTGATGCATAAAATGAGAAAGAACCTCATTGGTTCTTGAGAAAGCTCATATGTGATGCGCAACACGAGAATGAACCTCATTGGTTCTTGAGAAAGCTCAAACGTGATGCGTAACACGAGAACGAACCTCATTGGTTCTTGAGAAAGCTCAAACGTGATGCGTAACACGAAAACAAACCTCATTGGTTCTTGATAAAGCTCAAACGTGATGCGTAACACGAAAACGAACCCTTATTGGTTCTTGAGGAAGCTCAAACGTGATGCGTAACACGAAAACGAACCTCATTGGTTCTTGAGGAAGCTCAAGCCTAAGCCTGATGCATTAAATGAGAAAGAACCTCATTGGTTCTTGAGAAAGCTCAAACGTGATGCGCAACACGAGAATGAACCTCATTGGTTCTTGAGAAAGCTCAAACGTGATGCGCAACACGAGAATGAACCTCATTGGTTCTTGAGGAAGCTCAAACGTGATGCGCAACACGAGAATGAACCTCATTGGTTCTTGAGAAAGCTCAAACGTGATGCGCAACATGAGAATGAACCTCATTGGTTCTTGAGAAAGCTCAAACGTGATGCGTAACACGAAAACAAACCTCATTGGTTCTTGAGGAAGCTCAAACGTGATGTGTAACACGAGAACAAACCTAATTGGTTCTTGCACGTCAAGCATGCTTGAGCTTCTGTTTACCACATCTGGTGTGCGAGTTGATGAACGTTTAGTGATGAATTAAATCTGTTCGTCATAAAAAGCGGTCGGTCTTCAGAAAATTTGGACAAAACTGCTCAATTCATATGGATTTAGCTATGTCACCATTTATCAGGATACATTTGAATACTGTGTTTTATCAAAATGCTCCACGTCCACACAAGCGTTTTCCAAAAGTTGCTCATCCACACTGAAAATGCTTAGATCACTCTACTGCGCATATGTACAACATAATAAAAGCTCACAAGATGATCCCGATAGAGGAGAGATAACAGTCCTCAGACTATTCTTCTGGCACGATCATTTATTAGTAAAATATCCCACCAATCACTGTGTCTAACTCAACCTCCTATGGTCAATTGTTATGTTTTGCCGTTGGACAGCAGTGAGTATATTTTCTGTCATCTTTGCAGTAATGTAATATGAATTCTACAAACGAACATTTCTCTTTAGCACCACTAATAAAAGTGCATAGCAGGCACAACAATGCCGATATAACCATAGACCTTATGGGCCCTATTTTACTGATCTAAGCTCATGGTCTAAAGCGCCGGGCGCCTGTGCACTTAGTGTGCGTCCGAATCGACTTTTGCTAGTATAACGACGGGAAAAATGGTCGGCGCTCCCAGCGCATGGTCTAAAAGGGTTGTCCCTGTTTTGTAATGAGTAATGGGAGTGTTTTGGGCGCAACGTGAAATAAACCAATCAGAGTCTCATCTCCCATTCCCTTTTTTTACATGACTGAATTTGATAGTGGAAAGACCGAACACGTCTCACGTCTACAGTGGACACGTGTTGTGTCTACTCTGAGGAGCATGTTCAGAATAATCAATCCAATTAATTTGTCATCAACAATCATCATGACTATCCCATCAGCAAGAGAGGAATATGAATATATATAGGCACTTAGTCAACTCACCTACAGTTTCAGCATCCCTCCACCACCACGGCACCTCACTCTCGGCTTGTTCCTTCCACGGCCAGGAATACGGGGGGTTCAGGCCAAAAACCGAGCCCGGAGCCCTCTCCTCGGACAGCAAGTCCAAGGAGTAAAGGCCATTGCACACGGAGTACGAAATTTTCGTATGCGTATTTTCGTGTTCGTCAGCCTAAAAATTCGTCACGCACAAAAACCTTGCACACTGAGTCCGTTGCATATTTATTAAACCTTTGCGGAAAAAAAACGCAAAAATACCAAATGGATTCGTCAAGCAGTGAGGATGATTTTGTTGCCCTCTCTCTGATTGAACAGAGAAGAAAGAGAAAATATTGCGTGGGTCCATCCAATCCTGAAATTGCGCCCAGAGGAAGGAGAGTTCCACCTTAATCGATCCGAAATTTCAATCTGATTGAATTAGGGGAGGTTTATTCCTTTCATAATCCAATCGAGAGAAGAGAACGTAAACACTCGATCGAATTGAAAACCGAAACTGAAAGCACTGCGCATATGTGCAATGATGTGCGGAACGAGCTCCCCCAGCCCTGAATTGTCAAAAAAACCTCTCAAAATGCTGGCTGTGGATGCAAAAAACGGAGAAAATCGAACCCGATCCGAATTTTTTTATGACGGACGAAAGTTTCAGAGGCGGTGTGCAAGCGTGATTGACATAACGTGAGGTCGAATTTTTTTTAACATGCGAAAATTTCGGATGTGAATTTCGGACTCTATTTTAACGATCTGAAACGCAAGTGTCAAAGCGCAAAGCGCAAGTATCTTTGTGGGCGGATCCCGGCGCTGTTACTGTTTTCCCGGCGGGATAAATGCCTCTTGCGCCTGGCGCAAATCTAAAAGAGGTTGGTCTGAAGTAGCTTCATTAGTCATAGGTGTGGTTTGGGCGTAATGGAAATAAACCAATAAGAGCGTCATATCACATTCCCTTTAAGAGCATGATGAACGAGGTGCGCTTATTCCATGGCGCAATTCTATTTTAACGGCGCATTTACCAGGCGCACTTCAGAATCGGTTCACAGCCGAGGAGATCGATGTTCTCGTCAGGGCCGTAAAAGAAAGAGAAGGGACATTAGGGACGGGACAAACCCACCCAAATTAGCTTCGGTTAAACATGCATATAATAATTTGGGTAAATGTGTAAGCTTTATGCCTATTTTTCCCATCGTCATGGACACAACAATGATTTCCCTCATGTTTATATATTTTTCCTTATAATAATGTATCATTTGCAAAAAGTAAAATGCATCTGTGTAGATGAGAGAATCATCTACAGTGTATGCGCGTTGTTCACACTCTGTATTGTGGCCAAGCATACGCGCTTAAAATAGCATCTGAATGTACGTGCAACGCGCCACTGTCTTTAGACCAGGTTTTTTCTGGTCATTGGCGCAATTGTTTTCTGGAACTGCAAAATAGCACCAGGGGTTGTTTGCGCTGACACACGTCTCCTTCTTGCGCCAACCCGCCCAGGGAGCGCAAGTTTATTTCCTAGTTTACCGACGTGCGTCTGTGGAGGAAAAAAGCCCGCTTTGCGCGAGTGCAAAATAGGAACCCAGATAGCAAACTGACATTGAATCAACGTGGAAATATGACATCGAAACAACGTTGATCTGACATTGTTTTGCTCATCGAATTAACGTTGAACCAACGTCAGACGCGTCATTCTTTCAAAACTAATGGAAAATCAACTTGAAATCAACGCGTTGTTTCAACGTTATGAAAGCAAACCAATTTTCGATTCTCATTTAGCTTTGAAGAATGCCGCGTCTGACGTTGGTTCAACGTTAATTCGATGAGCAAAATCAACGTTGTTTCAATGTCATGAGAGACGTCGTTTCCACGTTGATTCAATGTCAGTTTGCTGTCTGGGAATGATAAATGCGTCAGTGTATGAAGTCATTTGCGCCGGGTGCAAGATAGAGCCCTCAGTGTGCAATGGCCATACGTGTAAATTTGTGAAATAACAAGAAAAGTAATATTGCGCCATTGACTTTAGACCAAGTCATTGACTTTAGACCAAGTTTCAGTTGGTCAATGTTTCAGTCTATTTCAGTTCCGCAATGCTCCTGAACACACCTCGTTTTCAGACCAGCAGCCCATGGGCCACAAATTTAAACAATTCAAACAACGTGGCGCAGGACGTGAAAATGAAAACTGCGTCAGGCTGAAACTAGCCAAAAATTGCGCCAGGTGTATGATAACGGTCACATGACTAAACATCCGCTAGAGGCCGGTCCCAAATGGGAGCAAATATCCATAGACGTCATGTTAAAATATCCGTTTTCACAGCATAAATTCATATGTTTACAGTTTGGTCCCATGGATCTTTATTGTAATCTTCAATATGTTCTGCGTGCCTGACAACTGTGAGGGGGTGAATTTTTTTCTAACTCGTTAGTTTAGATCATATTTGGATATAAAATGTATGACAAATAAGGGCGGTTAACTTTGATTGACAGCTGATAACGGGCTGCGCCGAGTGAATTTGACGTCTCGGCCATGATCTGACACAACACATCATACCACCTCTGTATCCTTTCTGAAACTTTTGTATTTTGTATTTTCCAAGATTTTGGGTGACCGCCATATTTTTTACAGTCTATGACTACAACACAAAACCACTTGGGAGACACAAAAAGCCCTGTCTTCGTTGATGCCAAAACAGAAAAAAAAGATGCGTTTCCGGACAAAAACATTAGTGTGGACAAGGCCTTAGTTTTACATTCTCTTCATGAACTTTTTGAAGCATGGACTGTCATTGGATGGACCGAAATCTCAAATATCTTCATTGGTGTTTCAAAGTCTTACAGGTTTGGAACAACATGAGGGTGAGTAAATGATGTCAGTTTTTTCATTTTTGGGCGAACTAACCCTTTACACTGTGACTCTGTGGTGCTTTCAAACCATTGATCTGTTTGTTTGAGCTTCACACAACCAACTCCATACAATGATGATACAGTCAGTACCTTTAAGGGTGTAGTATTGTGCATAATAAAATAGTGACATGTTTACCACATACCACAGACCCCCTAGCATTAGCATCTAGATCAATTCATCATTTTGGGAATTTCGTCTGAAAAGCCATAGGGTTGAACTTAGACGCTTTTCTTGAAAGATTCTTCATCTGAACTTCTCATACAGTACATCTGCAGGAGGTTTGCCACTTGTTAGATAATGAAACCATCTGCAAAGGCGCTCAGCTTCTGTACACATATGTACATCTTCTTTTACGATCCAGAGAGCTGATACACTGGGATGAAGTCATTTCTGTTTGTGTTACTGTTGAGTTTGAGTTCAAATATGACTGTAATGCTTTTATTTTCCAGTATTACTACTCCATTAAGGATATATCAGTGGGAGGCATGTGCATCTGCTATGGTCACGCTAAGGCCTGCCCTCTCAACACAGACACCAAGGTTTGTCATCTAAAGCTGAAGAATTAACATCCTAAAATGAGTTCCTGTGTGCACTTTTAATTAGGTTTATTGCTTGAGCTTTGTTAATTAGAAACGAAACACTTTTGGCCTTTATGAACCATGCACTCACAGCAGTTTAAAAAAAAAAATCAATAACTAGATAGTTGCTTTTGTGCCTGATATGCAGTGTTGTAGTCGAGACCACCTCACTCGAGTCCGAGTCTAGACCGAGATCATAGAGAGTCGAGTCCGAGTCAAGACCGAGTCCATAGAGAGTCGAGTCCGAGACCAGAGACGGTCGAGTCCAAGTCGAGACCGAGACCAGTGAGGGTTGATTACCTAATTTACACTCTAAAAAATGCTGGGTTGTTTTAACCCAACTTTGGGTCAAATATGGACTAACCCAGCCGTTGGGTTAAATTTTTACATTACATTTTTAACCCAACATTTCGGGTTTGTCCATATTTGACCCAAAATTGGGTTAAAACAACCCAGCATTTATTAGAGTGTACTTTTATTTACTTAGAGAAATCCTTTTTTTTTTTTTTTTTTTTTTTTACTGAATTTACTTAGAGTTTAAAAAATATGATCAGTTTAGGGTAAAAAGGCCACATAGCAGGTGGTGTTAAAAGCAATTTTATTACAATTTGTCATGCGCAGTTTCGCACTAGAAAATCACCAATCACTGGGCGTGTCAATCAATTTAAAGAAATATTTTATTAACATACATTAATAATCATGAAAAATATTTTGAATTGAACACGAGTGGACTCGGGAATAAGTCCGAGTCCTAAAAAAAAAAAATGTTCGAGTACGAGTCAATTCCGAGTCCAAATGCACCAAGACCATTAAAATATGGTCTCGAGACCGAGTCCGAGACGAGTCCGAGTCTCGAGTACTACAACACTGCTGATATGAACATAATTTTGTGGTGTGTGTCCTCATATTTGTCTTCAAAACGTCAATGAAGGTTTAGTTTTTCTCTGTTCAGCTGACTTTATCAAAATAAACAAGTTTGACAAATAAAGATTAAATACATAAATGTTTGTGTAGGTATCATTTTAAACACTGGTCATCTGTTTTTGGAAATACGCAGTGTAAATCCCAATTAAAGTTGAGTTTTAATTGCGGAGGCATTCTCAGTGCCTTCTGAATGACTCACAGTTGGTTTGATTGACTGTTTGGTTTTTAATGTCAGAAATTTAGCTGTGAGTGTGAACACAACACTTGTGGGGAGAGCTGTGACCGCTGTTGCCCTGGTTACAACCAGAAACCCTGGATGGCGGGAACCTTCCACACGCGCCACGTCTGTGAAAGTAAGAGGCCCAGAAATGAGCATGCTGGATTACTGATCATGTATGTCTTACTTTAGGAGCATCAGTCCATGTTATATTGCATCATATTCACATTATAGTCACACTATGTAAAAGTTAATACATAGTAATTAAAATTATGCAACAGTTTTTGTTTTTTTTCAAGAGACACTGTGAAGTCATTGAATCATTCCCTCAACCGATTTGTTAAAACATTCAGGAACAAAACACTGCTAATGTGTGTTGTCAATGTGACTGTGTCTGAGTTTGGAATCATTTTTAGAAATAGACAAATTAATCAGCAACATTGTGTCTTATATATAAGTTACTCAATTAAACATGTAAGCAATAAGTTACGAGAGTCGTGAATAAGCATGACGCGAAGCGGAGTAACCCCTTCAGCCGTTACTTATTCACGATACAGCACTTGCCTCGAGTACCTTATTGCTTTTATAAAACGGTTGCCACACAATATTAAAGTAAAAAACAATGTATTAGTGCAACTTTCTTGAAGTAAAATCACTAAAAGCCTTCCTTCCGCTAGAAAAAATAGTCCCTGAGCGTGAACAGCAACAACGCTCCAATGTGTAATATGCATGAAAGTTCAAATAAAAACAACATTGGAACCGCAGTGTTGCGCAGCGATCAATAGAACCGTTGCATAGATATATACACTAGACCTCACCTTGGCTTCGGCAGTTCATTGGAACGAATGCGTCAATAGAGCCGCCATCTTGAAACGGGAGCCCCTCCACTTTAATGCATCTGCGTCAATGTAGTAGACACAGGTCTAACGGAAATAAAATCACCATAAATCATCATGAATGCGATTTTTCTTGTTTTTTTGGTTTGTTCCAACGGTCAGACATGTATTTATCATTGATTACAGAAAGAAATTTTTTTTTTTTTTAAACATTCTTCCTAGTTCAGATTTCATCCGTGAACATCATACGTTGCACAAAAGTCCGCCACCATCAATGAATTCGAAGTAAAAGCAGAGATAGCAGCGTTACCTAGCTACTTCCTATGACAAGACCCCTGTTCCAAGATGGCGGCGGTTTTGACGCATGCTTAGAACCCCAAGGTGAGGTCTAGTGTATATGTCTATGGAACCGTTGGGTGAAGCGTCATAGCCGTGTGTTATCGTGAATAAAGCACAGCTCTTGACCAATCAGAATCAAAGATTCGAACTAACCGTTTTATAAATTGTATTAAAGCAACATCACTCAAACTTCTTGTTACTACAGTAACTTCTCAGATATGGCCCAAGTTCCTACTATTGCTACTAGTTTTCACAGGATATTTGTGAATTAGTAAGAGATTTGGACATCTATTTTGGACTAGAAATGGCAGATTCTGAATTTATGGTGTAAGAAATAAGAAGGGACTCTGTTTTTGTTGTTCATTGACCTGATTTATTAGCATGTCTGTGATTACTTAATTACACAACCTTTCATTAACACGTCTTATTATAATGAGAAATACATTTTATTTGGATTCTTCCATTATAAGGTCAATCCCAGTGATTCGTGCAATGAACAGCATCCTCAGGGAAGACTCAATGTAAAGCTTGACTGGAGGTCGCTATTCATACATGTGTCTGCTAAATGAGTAAACGTCCATATTGTGGTGGAAATATTACTCTGTATTAGCTTTACATTTCTTATTCCTACAGTGGTGCTGTTGGTGTGATTATTAGCACACATGGTACCAACCATAGATAATAAAGGCTATCTCAGATAGCAAACTGACATTGAATCAACGTGGAAACATGACATCGAAACAACGTTGATCCGACATTGTTTTGCTCATCGAATTAACGTTGAACCAACGTCAGACGTCAACGTCATTCTTTCAAAACTAACGGAAAATCAACTTGAAATCAACGTTGTTTCATGAAAGCAAACCAATTTTCGATTTTCATTTAGCTTTGAAGAATGCCGCGTCTGACGTTGGTTCAACGTTAATTCGATGAGCAAAACAATGCCAGATCAACGTTGTTTCGATGTCATGAGAGACGTCGTTTCCACGTTGATTCAATGTCAGTTTGCTGTCTGCGATATGTCTCGTTTGCACTGCTGGCCAATGGAGGTCAACATCCGCACCTGGCGGCCATCTTGTCACAGGCAGCTTGCTCACTCGTAACATTATTTTAATGGTGCATGTATTTTTAAAATAACCATAACTTGCTCAATTTTCGAACGATTTTCAAATGGTGAATAATGTAATGTAAAAAACCAAACCGTTTGTAAATCTGTCAAGATTTCACCGAGATAAGAGTATTTGTGTTCGTGCTGATCACTCATCTTACATCAGGAACCACAGAGCCCGCCAGAAAGCTTACCTGTGACAAGATGGCCGACGGTGATGAGACATCTAGCCTTTATTATGGATATCTATGGTACCAACGTTCAACTCTTCCTCATGTGGTATTGCTGTATTTTAATTCGTCAGGAGGAGCAGGTTGTTAAACTGTACCGCTTTTCTTATGTTGTATCATTGTGTGATGTGTTTATTTGCCAGAGTGTAACTGCCACGGTAAATCAGAGGAATGTTATTACAATCAGACCGTGGCCGATGCTAAGCTGAGTTTGAACAGTAATGGAGCCTATGAGGGGGGCGGAGTCTGCCTTGGTTGCTCTGACAACACAGGAGGAATTAACTGTCAATCATGCGTAGACGGATACTACAGACCAAGTGGGGTGAGTTTTCTCTTTTTCCTGTCTCAGAAATGGTTTGGTCCTCATTGTTCATATGCTACTTATGAAAGCAACTTTTTTCAGGGGCAAAACAAACAATGTGAAATTGACAGTGTGCTAAGACCCAGCTCTTTAATTTGTTTTTCTATGTTAAGCTGCCCTATATATGGTGGACGTTTTTTATTCCTACTCCTACACGTAAAAAGATGCTGGATTGTTTCCATGTCTGGGTTAAATATGGACAATACGCTGCCGTCATTTTGAAATCGAAAGCACGGCTGTGAAATCAGCGTATAAAACAGCTTGAGAATAGAGTGCCGAAGTGATGACGTCACTTTGTAGGACGACTCGGAAGCTAGCGGCGCATGAGTTCCCTCGGTCGAAAAGCAATGCATTTTCCCCATAGACTTTTGGAAAATCGCAAAAAATAAGATCTGTGTTTAACAAAGGCTTGTGACCCTTACACGTTTTGTCTAGCAAGATAATCTTTACAAGTTAATCCACAATGTATACATTTTGAAGCCTATATATAAAGATTTTAACAAACACAATAAAGTTTAAAAAAACCACAAGCAGGTTATAACTGTGTGTTCTATCATAGATCAAAACGTGAAAATATTTAGTTCACCACAGACCTTATTTCAGGCGATTTAGCAAAAACCCATTCAAAAATCTCATAGGCTTTAGAGCGAGGGAACCGTTAGTGCTAAAATGCTAACTCACTTCCGCGTTTTGGCCGACAGAGTGACGTCGTAACTTCGGCATTCTATAATATCTCATGTAGCATTACATTCACCTCAGGCATTTAGTGACGGTAGGTTAGTTCGCTAGAGAAATTAACACAAGCAAGAAGCATTTGGTATATATATATATATTTATATGCACTATTCGTCTATTCATTATATTTACTTAACCTGCCTGGTATAGACGTTCCCTTGGCGTCAATCGGCGCAACACTAGTTCCCTTGAAAGGGAACGCCTCAGTTATGACTGTAACCTCAGTTCCCTGAAGAGGGAACGAGATGTTGCGTCACCTGCCATATCTCCTACGTGCCTGTAAGCGCCTTCTTCAGACCTTACGAAGCTGGGTTTGAACTGGCTTATATAGTTTCCTGGTTCATGACGTCACCTGCCTCTGACATCCCGTCACACCACTGGACTGATTTTACATGTGTTTCAATACATCATCACGCAAAGCGTTCCCTTAGCGTCAATCGACGCAGCGTCTCGTTCCCTCTTCAGGGAACCGGGGTTACAGTCGTAACCGAAGCGTTTTCCATGCTTTTAGACATTTTTCGTACAGTTCTGTGTTGAACTATTCAAACACACCGGACATTCAAAAACTTGCGCTGCCTTGCATTCAAGATAGTCCGAATATCTCTGTTAGAATGAGGCCTTGCGCTAGACTAGACTTGGGTTGCCATGGAGTGTTGGAGTGTTTGTTTTCATATGTCCACAGGTGCGTCCGGACGAGCGCTGGCCCTGCAGACCCTGCTCCTGTGACATGAGAGGTTCACTTCACTCCGCGTGTGTTGCAGATGAAAGTCAGGCCACCACAGGTACAACACAACTCAACACAACTCTACAACACAATTCAACACAACTCAACTCAACTCTACAACACAACTCAACTCACAACACAACACAATTCAACACAACTCAACTCAACTCAACTCTACAACACAACTCAACTCACAACAAAACACAATTCAACACAACTCAACTCTACAACTCAACACAACTCAACTTAACTCTACAACACAACTCAACACAACAACTCAACACAACACAGCACAACACAACTCAACACAACTCTACAACACAACTCAACTCACAACACAACACAACTCAACTCGACTCAACTCTACAACACAACTCTACTCAACTCAACTCTACAACACAACTCAACTCAACAACTCAACAACTCAATTCAACAACACAACTCAATTCAACTCAACAACACAACTCAACACAACTCAACTCTACAACACAACTCTACTCAACTCAACTCTACAACACAACTCAACTCAACAACCCAACAACTCAATTCAACAACACAACTCAATTCAACTCAACAACACAACACAACTCAACTCTACAACACAATACAACTCAACTCAACACAACTCTACAACAAAACTCAACTCACAACACAACTCAACTCTACAACACAACTCAACACAACAACTCAACACAACTCTACAACACAACTCAACTCACAACACAACTCGACTCAACTCTACAACACAACTCAACTCAACTCTACAACACAACTCAACTCAACAACTCAACAACTCAATTCAACAACATAACTCAATTCAACTCAACAACACAACACAACACAACTCAACTCAACTCTACAACACAACTCAACAACTCAACTCAACAACACAACTCAACTCAACAACACAACTCAACTCAACTCTACAACACAACTCAACAACTCAACTCAACAACACAACACAACTCAACTCAACAACACAACACAACACAACAGTCAGTCAGTCAGTCAGTCATGTTTATTTATAAAGCACATTTAAAAACAACAGCTGTTGGCCAAAGTGCTGTACAATGTATAAACAACATCGAAAAGACATAAAAACAAATAAACAATACACAAACACAAAACACAACACAACTCGACACAACTCAACAACTCAACTCAACAACACAACACAACTCAACTCGACACAACTCAACTCAACAACACAACACAACTCAACTCGACTCAACTCTACAACACAACACAACTCAACTCAACAACTCAACTCAACAACACAACACAACTCAACTCTACAACACAACACAATACAACTCAACTCAACAACGCAACTCAACTCGACTCAACTCTACAACACAACTCGACTCAACTCGACTCAACTCTACAACACAACTCGACTCAACTCTACAACACAACTCAACTCAACTCAACTCAACACAACTCAACACAACTCAACTCAACAACACAACACAACACAACTCAACTCGACTCAACTCTACAACACAACTCGACTCAACTCTACAACACAACTCAACTCAACTCAAATCAACACAACTCAACACAACTCAACTCAACAACACAACACAACTCAACTCGACTCAACTCTACAACACAACTCGACTCAACTCTACAACACAACACAATACAACTCAACTCAACAACACAACACAACTCAACTCGACTCAACTCTACAACACAACTCGACTCAACTCTACACAACTCAACACAACTCAACTCAACAACACAACTCAACTCAACTCAACAACACAATTCAACTCAACTCTACAACACAACACAACTTGACTCAACTCTACAACACAAATCAACTCAACTCAACAACACAACTCAACTCAACACAACTCAACAACACAACACAACTCGACTCAACTCTACAACACAACTCAACTCAACAACTCAACAACACAACACAACTCAACTCTACAACACAATACAACTCAACAACACAACACAACACAACTCAACTCGACTCAACTCAACAACACAACTCAACTCAACAACACAACTCAACTCAACAACTCAACTCAACAACACAACTCAACTCAACAACTAAACTCAACATCTCAACTCAACTCAACTCTACAACACAATACAACTCAACTCTACAACACAATACAACTCAACTCAACTCTACAACACAACTCAACTCAACTCAACTCAACTCTACAACACAATACAACTCAACTCAACACAACTCAACTCAACGACACGACTCGACTCGACTCGACTCTACAACACAATACAACTCAACTCGACACAACTCAACTCAACGACACGACTCGACTTGACTCGACTCTACAACACAATACAACTCAACTCGACACAACTCAACTCTACAACACAACACAACTCAACTCAACAACACAACAACTCAACAACACAACACAACACTGTGTCCATGTGTGTGCGTGTGTGTGTCCGTGTGTGTGTGTTGAGAGGTAGCTGTTGCAGTAATGCTGTGTTTTCTTGTCTGTGGCAGATTTGGCCGTGGGCTCGTGCATCTGTAAGCAGGGCTACACAGGTGAAAAGTGTGACAAGTGTGCGTTCGGATACACAGGATTCCCCGTGTGTGAGCGATGTGAATGCAGTAGTGAGGGCAGCGTTAACCAGGATCCCTGCCAGCTGCCCTGTGTGTGCAAGGTACGACACATTTTACCATTGGCCTCACTCTGGTCCAATAATAACATAGGGTTGGACGCTACTACGAGTACATATATCATATACAGTACGAGTACATATATCATGGGAATGGTATTGAAATAGCAGATGATGTTTTTTTAGAAATGAATTACACTTTGTCTAATTTGATTATTTGGTATTATCTTAGAATAGATACTTGTATACTAATTATATTTTGCTTCTGAGTCTGTGGCAGCCCATATGGTCAAAAGTTAAACATTGTACTTGTGTAGAAAGTTATCTCATTACTCAGTAGCGGTTTTAGGCACGGGCGAACCGGGCAGTTGCCCGGGGCGGCATTTCTTCATGTCACATGGGGGGCGGCACGAGCAGTTAAAAACAAATCCTCTGTGCCACAAAGGTTTTCTATTTTTTATCATTTCGATTCAATTATTGGCAATGGCGCCCCTGCTTGCTGAGAATGAGCCGCTCACAGAACAGAAGCGATGTCAAGGGGGTCTCCAGTTCACGTATCGCATCTTTTGCGCGCTCGAGGTCGTTATTTCAAATAGGCACATGGGAGGCGCGCTCATAAACTTTTCAGTATGGGAGTGCACGTGCACCCAAACACTGGGTGTGTTTTTCTCATCTTTTAGCAGAGCTTTAGCAAGCGTTTTTCTGTGGTGGAAATACGTTAGCTACTAACACTTCTTTGTCGAATTGAATAGCAACGACAGCCATGGGGAAATCGGACCGAATTTTACTATTAATAATAAAAGATAAGCTACTGTGCATTATAAATGTCTGGAATGTATCTTTATTGACTCATTCTTTTTATAGAGATGATTTAAATGATTTTAAAAGATTTAAACCTTTTTTTTTAAGTTTAGTAGGTAACATAAAAGACTCCTTTAAAACAAATATTTAATGTTATTAACTTGATTTCATTGCGTATTAGGCTTTTTGAACAAAATTCCGTGTGATCATTTTGGTCACTATATTCATGAAATGAAAATAATTTTCATAAAGATCAACTAAAATGAACTTTAATTATGTGTTTTTACAGTAGCCTATAATATGCAAAGTACAATTTTCTATTTTCTAAATAATCTCTGATTCGCTCGAAGGTGGTCTTGCCCTGGGTGTAATTCAAAGTAGAACCGCCACTGTCATTACTTCTGAATTATGTGCTCTAGAAATGTACCCCTCTGATTCCTTCTGTCATGTTAAATTTGACTTACAATATGTGTTGATTTTGATTGTTTTTGATAAATGGTTTCATGGAGGTCAGTGTGATTCCTTGGGCTTGTAGGTTGTGGTTGTGTTGTTTTGTGCATGCAAATCTGTGTTTCTGAACTATTTTGATACATACAGTATGACATACAGTAATTAGTTACTGTAATTTAATTACTTTTCCCTTGAAAATGTAAAGTTAGGGATTACTCTTCATTTATCTGTAATTTAATTACAGTTACTTCTGATGTAATTGAGGTGAATCAATCCGATCTCACAGCGATTCGAATGCATTTTATGAGGAATCTAAATATTACGACCGCACTCGAATTATTGTAAAATATGTATGAAAAAAGTGTGAGATCAGACATAAAACAACAGTGGGTTTAACATCAAAATGTATTGTCTGATGCTAAAAAAGTATGTTTTTATAATGTAACCTTCTCCACCTTGGTCAGATTAAGGATAATTCGTGCAATTTTATAGTATTTATTTGAAAGAATTAAGACAGATTCATGTCTATCCTTGTATTATTCAGCTGGTTGAGATTGATATGGGATTTTGAAAGTAATTAGTAATTAAAAGTAATTAAATACTTTTTAGAGCGAGTAATTAGTACAGTAATCTAATTACACTGTTGAAGAGGCAATTAGTAACTAGTAATTAATTACTTTTTTAGAGTAACTTACCCAACACTGCAGTATGACGGGTATAAAATCGTTGATAGATGTTCATAAGCTCATTAAAACAAATACTAAGAAGAACAAGGAACTGGTGAGAGGCGAAACAAAGGAGGACAAGTTACATTTATTCATGTCGGAAACACTTACTGCTAGCAGGGGCACGGGAAGATGGTTCAGGTTGGGGGGGGGGTGCGTTTTTTTTTTTTTTTTTCACGAAGTGCAACGGTGAGAACACTAGTTTAAACAACATACACACACCTGAACTTGACTGTTCATCACATTATTGATACTGCTTTTGATCGTAATGCAATGGACTGGTCTACAGGACATAAATTAAGCCTTTAAATAAAAGGGATATTGGGATGTTTACGCTGTCAAATACAATAAAAGAACCTGCATAGCAACAGGAAAAAGACACGAACACAATAAGCTGCCTAGTGCCTACCTTACACAACACTGCCGGTGGACTTGCGCTCAGGAGTAGAGTGGATGCGGAACAATTCTTTCTACGCACACACAATATGACGTTACACTCATCGCGTACGTATAAAAAACATAATTTAATATAAATAGTCCTAACAATTTTTAAATAGCCCAAAGTGATTATTACAAAATGAATAAATGTTAATAAACAAAAATTTGTGTTACACCTAAACCACTCACTTATTGCCTTACTCTGTTCATCATGGGTAGAAAGATGGCGCCATTGTGTGTGGCTTGCCGTCTGTGTGGGTTTTTGCTGTTTGTTTTGCTTTTTGCCCGGGATGTCGACTCTCTGCTGGTGTATGATCGCCAAACACTGCTGGATCTGTGATTTTCTGTTGAAGATTTAGTAAAATTGGATGATGGTGGTGGATATGAAACCTTGCCCCTGCTCCTGTTGAGGCTCCCGGCTCACCTTTAGCACGCACCGACGAAAGTGCACCCGCCGCTGGGGAAAACGTAGTGGCCGGCGGCTAGTGAGATTGAAAGCCCGTCTTGCATGGTGTTCTACACCTTTTTGGACTGGGTTTGGAGTCGTGCCTAGCCTCGTTATTTCTTGACGCTCGCTGGACCCAGACGGCGCCTGTCTGATACCTGTCGTAGGCCCGGAAGAGGTGCTCCAGTCCCACGGCCCCTGGCTCTATGTCGGGTTCCACAAACATCTAGTGCCGCGGATCCGCCGGTTTCTGTCAGGTTTGGGCTGGTAAATGCTAGATCTCCAGCAAATAAGACTTTTGTCTTAAAGGGTTAGTTCACCCAAAAATGAAAATGAAGTCATTAATTACTCACCCCCATGCTGTACCAACCCCGTAAGACCTTCGTTCATCTTCGGAACACAAATGAAGATATTTTTGATTAAATTTGAGAGCTGTATAACTACCACATTGGCTCCTAAAGGACTGCCTCTTGACGGCCCAGAAAGTCAATGAAGAAAATGTTTAAATATCCCAAGTGACTACCGTGGCTCAACTATATGTTTATCAAGCGACGCGAATACTTTTTGTGCGAAAAAACAAACAAAAATAACGAGTTTATTCGACTATTTCTTTTCTTCCTTGTAGGCCAGAACGAGACTTCCTTAGATTTCCACGACGCATGCGCGAGAATTGAACTGAAGTAGTGTAAGGAGATCGCAATTCTCGCGCATGCGTCGTGGAAATCTAAGGAAGTCTCGTTCTGGCCTACAAGGAAGAAAAGAAATAGTCGAATAAACTCGTTATTTTTGTTTGTTTTTTCGCACAAAAAGTATTCTCGTCGCTTGATAAACATATAGTTGAGCCACGGTAGTCACTTGGGATATTTAAACATTTTCTTCATTGACTTTCTGGGCCGTCAAGAGGCAGTCCTTTAGGAGCCAATGTGGTAGTTATACAGCTCTCAAATTTAATCAAAAATATCTTCATTTGTGTTCCGAAGACGAACGAAGGTCTTACGGGGTTGGTACAGCATGGGGGTGAGTAATTAATGACTTAATTTTCATTTTTGGGTGAACTAACCCTTTAAAAGATTTTTTCACATCCCGAGGATTAGATTTTCTCTGTGTAACTGAGACATGGCCGAGTGATGGTGAGTCCAGCGCTTTCACAGAATTTTTACACCATGATTGCTGTTCCCTTTACTCCCCGCGAAAATCTGGCCGAGGAGGAGGAGGAATAGCGACTGTATATAAGAGTCATTATAAATGTAAGCAGATATTGCTCAGCATTTATTTGAGATTGGTCGCCCTCACACAGTGCTGTGTGTTGTGGTCTATCGCCCCCCCCCCCCCCCCCCCAAGTACAATAAGGACTTTTTAAGTGATTTTTTCTGATTTACTGGCTGAAATCATGACTAAATATGATTGTGTTCTTATTTTAATGTTCATGTGTGTTGTCCTGATAAGCCAATGACACAGGGGTTTCTAAACCTCATTGATTCTTTTAATCTTGTGCAATCTGTGTCTGGACCCACACAAGAACATGGACACACTCTTGATCTTGTTTTATCATATGGTTTGCTTGTTTTTAATCTAGAGATATGTGACGTGGTGTTTTCTGACCATATGCCTGTATTATTTGAGACTGCTCTTGCCTGTCATACATTTAAACTTCGCGCTGCAGCACGGCGCTGTCGCATGATTAACAAATTGCACCTTCAGCTTCAGACCCTTCAATCTCTGTCCCCTGCTCGGCTGATTTTGATCATTTTGAGCCGGTGACTTTTTCTTTTTTAGAGGAGGTTGTTGGTCACTTGAAGCCCTGGGTTTCTCCTAATGATGCTGTCCCCCCTTGACTATTTAAGGAGGTGTTCCCCACTGTAAGACCATCTGTGGTTGCAGTTATAAATAGTAGTCTGACCTCAGGTGTGGTCCCTGAAATTTTAAAACATGCAGTAGATCAACCTCTTATTAAAAAACCTGCGCTAGATCCATCAGTTTTTGCTTATTTCCAAATTGCCCTTCCTTTCGAAAATCCTGGAGAAGATTGTGCATAGTCATCAATTATTGGCCTTTTTGGACGATCATAATATACTAGAGGTTTTCCAGTCCGGCTTTAAAACCTTGCACAGCACCGAAACCGCTCTTTTAAGAGTTTTTAATGCTATCTTTTTAGTGACTGTGTTATCCTTGTGATTTTAGATCTA